CTTGACTTAATTGGCAAGAAGGAAATAGAAAATTATGCTTAAAAAATAATAATTAAAAGAAAAAGAGAGACATACGTGTTTTCCTAAGAAATGCTTTCTGTTACGACTCAGACACATTAAATTTGAATAATAATAGCATTTAGAATTTCATTCCAATTTATATTAGCCATCCCTCCCGAAATTAAATATTTATTTATTTCTCACGTAATTTTAAAAATATTAATATTATATTGAAATATAGTAAGAATAAAATAAAAATGACTAAAATAACCTTATTAGTACGTGTGATATAAAGGTAATGACATTTGTGTAATATATTGTAAATTGTAAGGGTATTTTTAATGTTAGGTAGAAAGTACATTTACTAAAAAAATAAATAAATACTTTGTTATGGGAAGGAGGAGTATTTTTTTTCATTTTGAGTGAATCTTACTTAAATTAAAATATATATATAAATTAATTTAATTAATTAAGTAACATATTATGACTAATTGAAAAATTCTTTATTTTTAATTTTTTTAAAAAATATATATATATAAAACTATTTTTTAAAAAAACAATTTATGTTAATTATAAATAAATAATTTTTTTATTTGTATTATATAAAATTTTATTTTTTAAAACATAATATTCATATTTCGTATATTTTTTATTATAATATAATTATTAAAATATTTAAACACATTATATTTTTTAATTATATATATTAAATTTATTTAAAATTATTAATATTATATAAAAATAATAAAATAATATTATAATTTACTATTATTAATTAATTAAATATTATTATTATTTTAAATAATATGTCATAATGAATAGATCAATTATCTTAAAACAAAAGAGTATAACATTAAAAATTTATTTTAAAATAATATTCTAATTTTACTTTTTCGTCATACTTCTTTAATATTAAAATATCATTATTTTTTAAGTATTCGTACTCAATCAAACCTATACTCCCTCCTTCCTATATATTTTGGGTGTTATATTATATATATATATAAGAATTTAGGTAAAATATAATTAGTAGGTAATTAAGAAGTATATTAGTAAAAATAATTATTATTTAGTAAAAATAATTATAAATTAATACTAAAATAAATAAATAATTTAATTAAAATTTAAAAAATTATAAAATTTAAAATGTGATTAAAGTGGATAATCATATTTTCAAAAAAAATGACAAGTTATGTGAGATTGACGAAAATAGAAAATAAGAACAAATTATGTGGGACGGAGAGGGTATTATTTACCGGACTGAGAATACTCCCTTCGTACCATAAATATATATCAATTTGCTTTTTGCACGGAGTTTTAAGAAATATTAGTATTATACTGAAATACAATAGAAATAAAATAGAAATAACTAAAATTCCAAAGTCCTTACCGCAGAGTAAAATTACCTATATGCCCTCCAATTATCCACAGTTTAGGTTTTTTTTTTTTTTTTTTTTTTTTAAAGAAACGAGAAACTAACTAAATTTATGTGGGCTTCATCCGGCCCATGAAGTTATACATAAATTAATTAAGAAAAACATAATCAATCATCCCGGCCCAACCCACTAGAGAGAATAGGGCTATGAACCGAGTCAAATCGAATTCACTTGAAATGGGTCGGGTTGGATGAACCTTTAGGTAAATTACAAATATATAATTACCTTATACATAAAATACAAATAATAAATTTGTACAAATATTTTTTACACACTATATTTAACAATAAAATATTATTATTATTATGCAAAAGATTTAATTATATATTAGTAATTAATAAATTGAATTGCATAAAGTTGGTTAGACATTCGTTGATGTGTCGGTTAATTTTATTTTAATATGTGTAATTCATATTTGCCACTTTGTTGGCCCATTGTCTATTTTGACTGTTGGATCTATTTCGGGTCTAACTTGTTAGGGTTTAGTTTACGTATCTATATAATATATATATATATATATTAGCGTTTAAATCTATGCTCTCACCGGTGTATACATAATTAAAATATTTTTAAAATAATATTGTAATGTAATTATATATTTAATCAATTTTGCATATATTATTTATTTATAATTTATAAAATAAATATATATAATAAAATTATTTTTATACTATATAAATAAAAGTAAATAAATATTGTAGATGGAATCGTATATAATATAAATCATAACATTTAAGTAAAAGTTATTTTTATAAACTATGAAAAAATATATATAATTTCAAAAAAAAAATAGTTATAATTGTAAAGATCTTTTCAAAATATGTGAAATTAATATATTATCTATAATTAGCATCCTAAAATTACTGTTGCAAATAACTAACTTAGACAACCAAGACACAAGTAATCTTGATCCTTGTCATCATATTCTTACGTTCTTGCGTGTTTTTCTTGATTTTCTAATTTTTGTATTTTTTTTTAAAAAAAAAATATATATATATATATACAAAGTAGATAAATAGTAAAAATATATAATTTGGCGGCAGCTACTATATATATAAAATTAAACACAGGTGCTGAATAACACATCATATACTAATAGATAATATACAATATTATTAAAGATAATACACTGATCTTATGTATTAATATAATTCAAATACAATATATGAAATAAAAATACATGCTACAGTCTCATACAATAAATACAACAGTTAATTTTAATACACGATAGAACTTTTATACAACACACTTATAATTATAAACAAATAACACATATCTTTATTATACACAATATATATTATACATAGGTTGTGTGTAATAAGGACATCATGTACTGGTTGCATATATTATAGGTACTGTAACCATTACCATGTAATTTATAACACAGTAAAAGATATTTCTATTTTTTCGGATAATGAAGATATAGAAATGAAAATATTTTAATTTATTATTATTATTATTTTAATTTGAGTTAGAAAAATCAAATTTGAAAATTAAATGATATATATTTTTTTATTTTATTTCTCTCCTATATACAAATAAATATATAAAAAAAAATTAATAAAAAATGAAAATATGTTTATTTATTATTATTATTATTATTATTATTATTACTTTTTGTATTATTTAATTTTTATAACTTATTTTAAATTACAATATCCTCATATTATAAAATATCACATCTAGTTTATTATTTAAATATTTAATTTGTATATATTTTTAAAATTATACTAATTAGATCTTAAAAATTATTTTATAAGTAATTTATTTATAACAAATCACCAAGACTATTTTTTTTCTATAGATTCTCATTCACTTAAATCCACTTTTTGTTTTATCCAAGTCACTATTTTTATTTTTTTTATTTTTCACAAATGAATTTTCCCTTTTATCAAATAAAAAATCAATTCTCATATTTTTATAATTCTATTTTATACTATCATTTATCTATAATTCTATTTTTTTTTTTTTTTTTTGCAACAAACGTACCGTTATAAATTTTGAGACAATTTCAAAGTGATTCGAAATTTGTAAATTCATTAATAATTTTGAAATTTCTGAGATTATTTTGGATATTTTTAAAAATTTCGAGATAATTTAATAGGCTAGGATTATTAAGGCTAATATACGCATTAATCGGTAGTATTTTGGAAGAATTTGGATTATTTAGTATGAATTTTACTAAGGTTGTCTTGTTTGGTATATTCTACATGTTTATAATACTTTTATTGAAAATGACGAGAAAGAAAAAATAAATGAAGAACATAGACAACAAGGTCGGATAAATATTAAGTATACAATTTTTATAGTTCAATAATTAATTAGATTTAGTATTGGCATTGCGGGAGATTTTGAATATTTGAAGATTTTAAATTGCTCGACATAGGTAAAATTTTAAATGCCATGGTTGCATAGTAATTAAAAAAAATAAATCAATTTATAAAAAAATTCAATTAAATTTTAGAACTGCATGGGATTATACTACTTGATTATTATAAACAAAGAGAATTATTTAGAATTGTTCAACGCATGAGATGTTTTATAAGATAAAAAAATTTATTCTTTTAAAAAATTATAGAGTTCAAATAGCAAAAATTTAAAGGAAACACACCTAGAGAATTTATCCAATATTCAATTAAATGAAACTTATTATATTTAATTTTTTTACGTTCAAAGTATACCCAAAATTTAGCTGATAAATTATAGGGATTAGATGCTTATTTAAAATTTAAGTTTATAATATAATTTCAAAAATAAAAAAAAAAATATATATTTCACGTATTTAAACAATATTTTTTTTATAAAAAAAAATTAGTTAATATTCAATTAAATAATAATAAAAAAAACATGAGTATGTTTTTTTTTTATAAGTTTGGAAAAAATATGATTTGAATTTGGTATAAAAATAATATATAATGTGATATTTTGTGAAATAAAAATATATATTTTTTTAGTAAAACGAAGAGTACGGATAACATAAACCTATGTTTATAGTGTAAAGAAACAAACCTTATATTCCGCCTTAATAATTTATCAATTTTTTTATTTTGATCTGTCTTATAATAAAGTATTTATTTTTTTTAGTAGTAATTGTATTATGTACCTAACATTACAAATATTATTTCAATTTCATTTTTTTTTTCAAATGTCATTATTTTTATATCACACAGTACTAATAAAATTATTTTAATTATTTCTACTTTATGCCTACTATATATTATTATAATATTAATATACCTAAAATTAGTGAAAAAAACAAATAGATAGTTACTTATGGGACGGAGAGAGTATAATATTTAAATTTTTTTAATGTTCAAAATATACCCAAAATGTATGAGCAATAATTAGATAATAACTTTCAGTTATTATTCTAATTTCAATTTTCGATGCATTTTCAACATTTTGGAGAGTATTTTAATTTTCGATAAGCCATTTTATCAAATCCATTTTAGAATTATTCATTAATTTTCGCGTATATACGTACAAACATTGTATGTATATATATGTATGTATCTATATATATATATAAGTTTCGTCTTCCTCTTCCCCACGAAAGCTCTCTCAGAAAACCTAATCATGGCGAGACTACTTTTGCTGCTATCCGTTTGCGTTTCATTGTTCGCGGCGAAATCATGGGCGTCGGACATGTCAATCATCTCCTACGACGCGACGCACGGCGGAGGCTCGCGTTCACACGACGCGTTGATGTCGCTGTACGAGGCGTGGTTGGTGAAGCATGGAAAGAGTTACAACGATCTCGGAGAGAAGGAGGAGAGGTTCGGGATTTTTGTGGAGAATCTGAGGTACATTGACGAGCAGAACGCCGTACCGAATCGGAGTTTCAAACTCGGTTTGAATCGGTTCGCTGATTCGACTAACGAGGAGTATCGGAAAATGTATCTCGGCGTCAGACGCGACGGAAACCGTCGATTGACTGGTGCGATGACCGGCCGTTACGATCCGAAGGTCGGCGACAGTTTGCCGGATTCCGTCGACTGGAGGAAAAATGGCGCCGTCGTTCCGGTCAAGGATCAAGGCAGTTGTGGTAAGCAATTTTTCCCCCTTTTTGAACAAACTTTCAAGTCAAACACAATGAACTTATCGATTTTAATTTTCTAGTATTACCTATTTCTCTGTTTTGTCGATTCCTTGTTTCGGACGATTTCTGCAACTCATACATTAGGATTTTCAGATTAAACCGATGCATCTCTAGAATGTTCCATGTTCATATTGTTGGAGAACTTCTAGGAAACAGAATCAAAAGATTGAGGTTTAGATGGTTAACGATTGATGGTTTGCCGCTATAATCGCCTTAGGTTTGAATTTGAATTTGATTAGTTTAACTTTGGTTCATAGTTCTCGGAAAGTGATTGAACTGCCATATACATTACATTACATTAATTACTAATTTTTTTTGTTATTTTTAAATTCCAAAATTCAAAATCCTTTCTCTAAACAAATATATTTAGATATATATGGTCAAATCAACACATAGTAAATAAGAAAATGTAGCACATAATTTTAATTGACATAGAATATGCTATTTTAAGTGAAATTATGTATTGATAGTTTAGATTCATCGTATGTGTTAGATAAACATATATATATATATATATATATAGTAATAAACAACATAGGAAATCTTTTTTATATCAGTATAATATAAATACAATACATGAACTATAAGCACATCTTATGATTACATATAGCATACACAACAGTTGATTTCAGTGTGCTGTGTGTAATAAGAATATATGTTGTTCCTATATATTATAGGTGTGTAATAAGAATAAGTGTTGTTTATATATATTATATTTGTGCAATAAGAATGTGTGTTATTTGTATATATTATAGATTCGGCACCGTAATCATTCCCCTGTCTATATATATTCCGTCGGTAATATGAGTTGTATTTTTTTTTTTTTTTTTATAGTTAACAAAAAAATATATATATAAGATTTTCATCCATAACTATTCTAATTGTATTGAATTTTAATAATTCTTGAAGGGAGTTGCTGGGCTTTCTCTACAATTGCTACAGTCGAAGGTATAAACCAGATTGTGACTGGAAACTTGACCTCACTTTCGGAGCAAGAGCTTGTCGACTGTGACAGATCTTATAACCAAGGCTGCAATGGCGGTCTTATGGACTACGCTTTCGAATTCATCATAAAAAATGGCGGCATCGACACTGAGGAAGACTATCCGTACAAAGCCAAGGATGGCAAATGTGATCAATACAGGGTAACAAAATCCTTACCCTTTTTTCATCCCCGGCTAAAAATCAAAATTCCAGTTATTTCAAAATGTCTGATTTTATCGCAGAAAAATGCGAAAGTTGTGTCGATAGACGGCTACGAAGACGTTAAACCCCGCAGCGAGAAAGCTCTGAAAAAGGCCGTCGCGCACCAGCCGGTAGCCGTTGCAATCGAAGCTGGCGGGAGGGACTTCCAGCTCTATGAATCAGTAAGTTTCTGGTTAATTGATGTGATGTTTTCATCGTAAAATTTATTTTATTCGATTATTCGATTCGTATCTTTTCAGGGCGTTTTCACCGGAAAATGCGGCACCAGGCTGGATCACGGCGTGACAGTTGTTGGATACGGCGCAGAAAATGGACGGGACTACTGGATCGTCAAGAACTCGTGGGGATCGAGATGGGGCGAGGAGGGCTACATCCGGATGGCGCGAAACGTGCCTGACAAATCCGGCCTATGCGGGATCACATCGGAGCCGTCGTACCCAATCAAAACCGGGCAGAACCCACCCAACCCAGGACCCTCCCCGCCGTCACCCGTCGCGCCGCCCACCGTCTGCGACAAATACTACGAATGCCCTGAGGGCACGACTTGCTGCTGCGCCTACGAGTACGGCAACTTCTGCCTCGCCTGGAGCTGCTGCCCGCTCGAGGGCGCTACGTGCTGTGACGATCACCAGAGCTGCTGCCCGCACGACTACCCTGTTTGCGACATCAAAGCCGGGACCTGTTCGATTGTAAGGAAATCTAAACCTGTGTTTGTCGTTTACGCGTTGTTTGTTGCGTTTTTTGTCGTGTTTATTATTGCGGTATTTTTGTGCGATGCAGAGGAAGGAGAGCCTGTTGGCGACGAAGGCGATAACGCAAATTCTCGCGAACCCGATCAGGAATTCCGGCGGAAGGAGCAGTTCTTGAACCAACTGGTAATTTATGTACAGTCAAGTTAGTTCTTTCTATTTGCTTTTCTATGAACAAATTGTGCTTTGTTTTTTTGGACAACCCTTTGATCCTTGGTTTTTGTAAGATGCTACTTCTGCTGCTATTATTAATGTTCTTGAAATTAATTAATGTTATCACGATAGTTTTTGCATTGAAATTTCATCCCTGATCAAAGTGTATAATCATATTTCCCGACCAAATCCCATCAAAATTCACATCGAACCTCTTCTCTCCCATTCACCAAACTTGGGCACCCGAGCTTCGCTTCTTCAATGCATTGCATTTCGAAGCAATGCAAGACATGTCCGACACTTTTAACTCCCAATTTTGTCGAATTTCTCAAATTCTTCGATCCTATTAGCCGTTTGTCTGTCCATCCATCGACATGAAGCTTCTTCATCACTGATACTTCCTCTTACCATTGGAAGGGTGACATTTGTTTTTATATGTAAATTTTTTAATATTAGTATTATATTAGATTGTAGTAAAAAAGACAAAATATTAGTATAGTGTAATATAAAAGTAATGACATTTATGTAATATATTGTAAGTTGAAAAGAGTATTTATTATGTTAGGTAGGTAGTACAATTACTAAATTAGAAAATAATAATTATATTTTGTGACAGACGAAAATAGAAAATAGTAATATTGGAATATGAAATTTACTTGTGTAAAGACATGTTTGTCAGGACAGAGGGAGTACTATTAATTCATGTTGTTGAAGGTTTAAATGAATTGGGGAATAGGTATTGCACCAAAGCTCCTTCGAATATCTAAATAAGAGTCAACTCTCGAAACGTAGTTATATTATAATTATAACACCCTTTTGCCAACAGTATGCATGCAAAAATACAAAGCAATCAATGAGACAAGAGTTTGTTTACTCGATTTGGTTGTAAACAAAGGGATATCAATCCAAGAGTAGTTCTACTAATCAGTGTTGATTAAAGAACAAAGACATACCATAATGCTTTCAACCCATACATCCGGTGAACGAAATTAGCATCTAAATAACCCGGGGGCAAAATGTTATAATTTATTTAATATTTAGCTAATAAATTTAAATAAATAATAACGACATAATTATATATGAATTTAAATAGTTTTGGAGGGACAAATTATATATAACTACATAAAAATTAATATTTTTAATACTATAAAAATCATATAAAATTTGGCTTGGGGGATCAATTGATCCGCCCAAGCCTAGTGTAGTTTCGTCCCTGCATACATCAACAATGATTACCTATAAAAATTCTTCTGCAGGTTTAAGTTGTCACAAGCTCGTACTGACATCTCTCCTAATTGAAACTCCAATAACTCCTCCAACGGATAAAAGTGCTAAACACACACTCAGAACATGGAGAAGAGAATGATTGGGGTTAAGAGCATTAAACTCACTTTCTCACTCTAAACTCAACTCTCAAACCTTTGACACAATCAAAACTCTCATTCACGACATACAAGAAAGCAACCATGCATGGCATGCAAGACTAGACAATTAAAATCCTTGGTATGGTTTGTCTCTGCATGAAATATGAAAATCAAGTTGACCACCCCAATTAATTCTTTTTGTCTTGTGTATCCAACCAAAAAAAAGACAACCAAGTGCAGCCGACGCTACAAGAAAATATCATTTTTGTAATGAAGATTTTTAGTTCCTAAATCTACATTTTTCGTTACTAATGATATTAGAGACGGAATTAGTGATGAAATTACGTTAATTACGTGAACTTTAGGAACGAAATTCCGTTATAAATATATTTTTTTTTGTAGTGCGACAAGCTACTATTTATTATTATTATTTTTATATCTTACAATACTAATATAAATATTTTTATATTTTTATTATAAATTAATATAATACTAATATTTCAAAAAATTATGTATAAAAAACAAATATTATTCTTATGAGACGGATGAAATATTTTTTATTTATATTTTAAAATAAGTTATAATTAATTTATACTCTATTAATTATAAATAAATATATATTCTTTTCTTTAATTATATTATATAAAATTTTATTTTTTAAAAATAATATATTTTTTATGAAAATATTTTTTGGGAAATTCCACCTTCCTGGGCTCTGGCTGGCTATTTGGGTATAATAAGGCCGGATTGGATCCGGTCCAGATCCTTAAATTTTAGATCCGACCAGTCAATTTGATTTTCGGATCCAACTCAGCCGGATCCAGTCTTCAGTCTAGTACCTTTTAGATCAAATTAAAATCAATATATTATTTCTTCCAATATTTCACTAATTTAATTTACGATTGCTTGCGACTTAAATATAATTATTGACCACAAATAATAATAATAATAATAATAGCAGTAAAATTTTAGATGAGTCTAAATATAAGCTAAACGGGCCAGAAGTCGGGCAAAAGAAAGTCGGACAAGGAAAGATGACGGCCGATACGAAAGTCGGGCAAGATGAGGTCGGTCGGGACGAAGGTCGGGCGAAGAAAGATGAGATGGCAGACGCGGAGGTTGGACAAGATAAGGTCAGGCACGGAGATCGGACGTGATAAGGTCGGGCACGGAGATCGGACATGATAAGGTCAGGCTCTGAGGTCGGACATGATAAGGTCGGGCACTGAGGTCGGACATGATAAGGTCGGGCACGGAGGTCGGACATGATAAGGTCGGACACTGAGGTTGGACATGATAAGGTCGAGCACGGAGGTCCGACAAAATAAGATCAGACATAGAGGAAATAATATGCATCTAGGTCGGACGGTATATAGGTCGGGCGAAATGAAGCCAGGCGAAGAGAGGATCGATACGGAGGTCGGTTAAAAGAGGAAGTCGGGCGAAGAAGGATGAGACGGCTGATGCGGAGGTCGGTCAAAAAGAGGTCGGACAAAAGGAAAAGTCTGTTAATTGGTCGGGCGAATGAAGGGTCAGTTGGTCGCTTGATTGGGCGACCAACGAATCGTCTGGACGAATGGTTATTCAACCGATTGAAGGGACCAGATAGTGGTCGCTTGATGGGGCGACCAATGAGTCGTTTGGACGAATGGTTGTTCAGCCGATTGAAGAGACCAGATAGTGATCGCTTGATTGGGTGACTGATGAGTCGTCTGGACGAATAGTTGTTCAGCCGATTGAAGGAACCAGATAGTGATCGCTTGATTGGGTGACCAATGAGTCGTTTGGTCTAAGTTGCCCTGCAGTCCGTGTAAGGAGTCAGGGTTTATTTTGGGCAGCTGAGTAGCCGGTCGGGCCAGCCGCCCATTTAAGGCGGTGAGGTTTTGTGAAGCGGACGGCCGAGTTAGTTGAGTGTTGTAACTGGCGCGAGCGGTTGATCAGTCGGTTAAAACACATGTCAACAGAAGAGGACCTGGTGGACGGTTGACGGCGGTTGCTGTAACCGAGCAGACGACGGTTCAAACTGTTTCTTTAAGGGGTTATTTAATGATTCAGATCTGTTCTGAAAAATGATATCTACATCAAATTTAAGAAAATTGCTTTTGGGATCACCACTTTATTTTCTCAGTCTGTAGTTTTTTATTTTTCTATCCTACAGTGCCTAGGAATTCCTCAAGCATTTATTTTATCAAATTCGAAGATAATTTCTATTTTCGAATTTTATTTTTTATTGAAAATTTGCATCAACAATAATAAATTTATCTAATTAACAATAAAATTCTAATATTAAAAGGATAGATTAAATAAAAATTTAAATATATTAATTCATCAAATCAAAAATTAACAAACCTAAATAAAATAATTTTAACAATTCAAAAACATTTTGATGATGATTACATTTCAAAGGGAGAAAAAGAACAATGCCAGTTTGGATTAGATTTAGAAAATTAAGATTTCGATTAATAAAGAATATATAATCATATAATAAATAATATACTATCAATATATATTAAACGATCCAGGGCATTGGAATCATAAATACAGGATCTGGTTCGGAACAGACCAAATTGACTGCTCTAGCCTCTAGGTATAGTAAAATTATTATTATAATAATAATAAGTTGCTTCTTTATTTATTGAAAACTTTAAAAAAGCAAGGTGCAGTAAGATTGGTTTCTTTAAGATCAGTAGGTAAAGTCTTTGACTAGAATAATTAAATTTCAATAAAATATGACAAACGAACACATCAATATCTATTATGATATGCTCTCCATTTAATTAATATAATCTTAATTGAGTTGTACACGAAAATTTAAATTTAAATAATATTAATATTATAAGACTCGGACAAAACGACAAACAAAAATATTATATTGAAACAAAAGGAGTATAATTATTTCAATTAAAATTTCTGTCCTTCCATCAAATATTTTGCTTATTCCTGGATACTCAGGTTCAAATACCACAGATTCGCTGTTTGCTTACGGGTATCAAATTCCATTTCTTTGTATTGTATCTAAATCAAATCTTATCTATTTCAACTTCTGACTTTTTCTTTCAAGCAACCAATTTAATCATACAAATATATACTAAGTATTAACATTCTTTTTTATTGAATGAAAAATAAAAAAGATAATCTAGAATTTCATTCTAGATACTTTATTTGAATTTAAAAAACTCTACCCATCTATTTTTTAGATGGGTTATATCTAGCCAAAATCGATCAAGATTTCAAATCTTAATATTCAAATTCTAACTCAAAATCCAAACAACCACACCCTTACTTTCTCTGTTGCATCCACATCTTAAATACAAATATCTTCCCTCTCCATACTTATTGTTGATGGACAGACAAGTTATAATACAATAATATAACCAAATCAAAAGGATCAATGTTACCATATATGAAGATACAATCAAAATCCCAAAATAAGCAAATTTTATTACAACAAACACTCTCTGCAGCATCTTTTAATTTAACAAGCACCGCAGCAATTCGATTAGTGAATCAAATAACAATAAGAACCTCGACAAACAGTAAGAGTTTTACTTTCAGATCAAAAAAAAAAAAGAAAAAAAGAAGAGTTTTACTTGATCAGATTTGCAGCCTCTGACTTTAATAAGGCTATAGCTGTCTTAGTTCTGCTTGCACTCACTTTGTAAAACCGATAAACACACACTACAACGCCTCTTCTGATTATTCTTGTCGAAAATATATATATATATATATATAAGCCTTATTACAGGCTTCCCAAAAATGAAGGATTAACTTATACCGCTTTCCCAACAAAAAAAAATGTCACTGCCATGGACAAGTAAAGAAATAAATCATAGGGAACTGTTACTTGCCTTGGAGGAATGTGATGTAGCTAATCGGTTGATTTTGTAGCCTTGTAAGTATTAACCAACTGCGTTTGCAAGTCTTGCGAAACTTGAGCATGCTCTACATATTCCATTGTGAATTCACCTTTCCCCTGCATAAGAATTCCGTATCTAACCAACAATCTAAAAACTAAATCAAGTTTCGGCTAGTTTGAACATTTGATTTAAAATGATTCACCTGTGTCATTGATCTAAGGGAGGTCGAGTAGCCAAACATATTGTTGAGAGGTACCTGGAATCAAAAAAGAGTTGTGAATTAACTGTGAGATAAAAGAGAAACATCGATTATTGATGATAAAAAAAAAAAAAAAAAAAAAAGGTAATATTTTCTCAGATAAGGAACTTTTTAGTTAGATAAAATTAGGTCGGTAGAATAAATCAACTTGGAAGGCAAAACATCCCAGCAGAAAGAAATCATTTAACAACATACTAGCCACAACCAATACATAACTAAAAAATAAAGAAAGAAATGCATCGGCCGTTGAAATATAGATGCAAATTAAAACTAAAGTAACCTCCCCGCGTAGAATTCAACAATGACCAAACTTTAAAAGAATTCTATTAGTCTTAAAAACATTCTGACTGATGGATGATTTGACAAAAATGAATAGCAAATGTCCAGAGGAAGTATACAGAGTATAAGAAATTTTACGTACATGTGCAGTTATTACACAATCATCTCCTTCCTGGTCAATCCCAACAATCATGCCTTTCCTCCTGCAAGTGACAATAGATCGCACGAACTCACATTTAGCTTCTCGTATCACATGCCAAAATGTCCTTAAAACTCTAAAATTGAACAAGTTATGACTCGCAATTTGAATCAAGAGAGCAAAATCTGAGGAATTCTCACTTGTTAATATCACCAGTAACTGTGCCTTGAAATTCAGTCGGAAACTTTAACTCAACCTTCATCACCGGTTCCAATACAACAGGTTTTGCAACAGTGTAGCACTATAGGATTCATGGGAAATAATAATATTAAAATTAAGCAATTTTAAGATAGAGGATTCAACATCAGAAGCCGGGCAAAAGCAATACAAAAAGAGAACATGCAAGTGTTGTAGTTGTTATGGAATTAAAAAGACGTTACCTGTCTGAAAGCATATATAGCAGCCAACTTAAAAGCAAGCTCACTTGAATCCACAGCATGAGCCGCACCATCATTCAAAACAATACGAATATTTTCAACAGGATGGCCGATAAGAGAACCCCTGCAGTGACAATCGTTCATAAATATTATACCATATAGAAGAAATTCAAGCTGCTTTCAGAACAGAGAGGCGTGTAGTGCTCGATCAAGGATGATTTTTGAACTTTTAGTTATACCAAACAACTCGGCATTCACAGAAACCTCTAAATGTTGCTTATCATAGTCGAAGTAAACAAGGACTGCAGAAAATCCAAGATAAGGCTAAAAAGGAAGGGTATCCACAGATTTTAGGAACTCCAGGGAACCACTTGACATTTAAAATAAAAAAAATCACAACTTACGAGTTGGCAGCTTCTTTGAATCCCTTTTCAATAGCTGGCACAAAATTTGAAGGTATAGCTTGTCCGACAAGCATGTTCTCAAATTCGAACTTAGTCCCCGAGCCTGGTGGAAGGGGTTCCACATACCTGCCATGAAGTGAAAAGATGTAATATCGAGATCCCAGATGTCTAGTATAAGATTCATTGCGAATTCATTTTAATGGCAGCCTGTTACTCATAACAAAAGTTTAATTCAGCAAAACAATATCAAAAGACAACTGTTGAACCAAGCAGCACTGAAGAAAAACCAGGAGTAAACTGGGTGGGAGGATACAGGAAAAACTTGTCAGTGAAGATAAAATTGTTAGTTTACCCGATCACTCTTCCATATTGACCTTGTCCTCCACTCTGCTTTTTATGTAGATAATCAAATTCAGCACGCTGAGTAATTGTCTCTCTGAAGTTCACCCGTGGCTTCCCGACAGTTGCATCAACCTTTAACACAACAGAGGGAGTAGATTTTCAAAATTTGTTTTTGTTAAAACCTTATATAGGCAACTATAATCGAAAACAACAAACCTTGTACTCCCTTCGCATACGCTCCACGTATATGTCCAGATGAAGCTCTCCCATTCCAGAAATAATCGTCTAATCAGCAACCATGCAATGAAAACATTACCCTCACAAACATTCAGCACAATTGATTGGCATATATATTGTAATACAAATACAAAAATAAATCATACCTGGCCACTCTCGGAATCTAAACCAACACGAAAAGTTGGATCCTCCTTCTGAAAGCGGTTCAGAGCTTTTGAAAACTGTCAATCAAAGATATAAGGCTCTGAAAATATACAAACTGACAAAACCAATCATCTCACTAAATTGTATGACAAAGGAAAGAAAAACTCACATTTCCACCAGAATCTTTAGAAACTGCAGATATTGCTAATGACATGACTGGCTCAGGCACACTCATAGATGTCATAGTATATCTAACCGATCCATCCGTAAATGTATCACCTAGGAATAAATTGCAAAAATAGTAAACTCGATAAATTCTCAAGAACTGTCATAATTTAGTTATGAATAAAACGGGACTTCCTGTGAAACACTCTGAATCATCCTTAGAGACTCTAAAGCATTATGAAAACGATATACATGGATTTGCAGTAATACCTGAAGCACAATCAACACCAAATACAGCAACAATCTGTCCCGCATGAGCTTGTTGAATGTCCTGTATAAAGTAATTTGATGGAAACTTCTCATATTTACACCTTACGTGTTTCATAAACTTTAGAATGGTTACATGCATCAAGTATTAATGGAAATTCAAGTCCATTTTCTAAACAGCCCTTTATTACAAACAAACAATGTCACATTGCATCTGTACATGGACTAACCTCCATTTCATTAGAATGCATCCGAACCAATCGAGGAACCTATAACAATGTCAGAAAGGAAATCAGATCACAAACATTTGACCACTATCTTCAAAACTGAACTTTACTTGGGACAATGTAAATTCATAAAAGTCAAAAAATCTACTCAATAGCAGTTTAATATTAGCATACATCTGTTCAATATCTTGAAAGTGCATGACATAAGATTAAATTGACTATAAACAAGATTACCTTGATCTTCTTTCCCGTGTTTATGTTTACTATAAAGTCGCCCTTTTTTATTACACCTTCATAGATTCTGCACAATGAACAATTCAACCAAAGTATTAAAAGTTAATAACCTATAAAATATGAAGACATGTGTTCACTATACAAATTGTGGTGATTAATAAGCAAACACAATAATGAATTATTAAAAAAATACCTTAGATATGTTAACTGGCCAAATCGACCTTCCTCCAGCTTGAAAGCCAAAGCAACAAGAGGCCCAGCAGGACTTCCTGATAATAAGACCTGAAACAATAAAATATTACAAGAGATCGCTGCTAGATATACGAATGAAACACATTCATACAAGATACAAACTTCTAATAGTAAAATAACACCTTTTCCTCATTCTTGGATTGGTCGAGAGCATAATTGCTGACTTCTGTCGGACAGGGCAGGTAGCTAAGTACACCATCAAGAAGTGGTTGAACCCCCTGGCAAATAACAATCACATCAAGCATGTATCCTGTGATTTCAGAAGGCAAATACCAAAATTGCCAACAAAACTAAATTTACTTATCCTCTTTGAAATGTGATATTATTGAGCCAGTTTAGAGGAGTAAAATTCCAAAAGCCAAGTATAAGCATAAGAGAAAGTTGAGTCCAGATAAGATCAATGTTACTTATCAAATACTTCAGGGAAAGATAAATGGGAAACATTAGTTTTATCATCATAACAAAACAAACAAACAAAAAAATAGATTTCCTTCAAAATCACAGCTTCACACTTGTTTCCATCTCAAAATTTCCAGTCACCTTCTGCATGGATAATTCAATTAGTACTTGCAATATTTTGCGAGTGGTTTCCAAATCAGCAATATGTTATCTTTTCTCTTCTCCATCCAACCCATCTCCAATGTCTTAACTCATAAACCAAATAATATGAACAGAAATACATCCATACACCAGCACATGAGAACCACACACCAGAAGTCAGTGGTGACAAAGGTCAGAAGGGATAGCTCAAAGTTGTCATGCTAATTCCAATCTGATGCTATTTCATGTTTAAATGATACAAAAGAATCGAAAATAAAATTTTTACTATCCTTTTGTTGTATTATCCTACTTCTGCCTTTGCTACTGATTTACTAATGCAAAAAATAAAACACTCTACTCTCTAATATCTTCAACATCAAGTCTTGTTCTCATGCACCACAACAAAATTGGGTGACTAAAAGAAAATTTCAATATATCGTTGAAACAACTTGCCATATTCATAGAGGAAATTGTTCAAGAGAACAAGAACATATTGCATAATCCCCTTTGACCTAGTTTGGTCAAATCTAATAGAAATTGTTTACAACATGCATCTCCTATGGGATCACGTTTTGATTTTTTTTTTAGGTTTGGATTGTTCTGCGAAACTAGAAATGAAAACGCAAGTAAACACAATGAAGGTTTAACAATCAAGTTGCAACTTCCAATCCGACTTTTATGAAAGAACTAAGCATATTGAGGAGGATGGCATTTTGTGCGTTAGTAAACTTGTCTCATTCAAGTGTTTTCATACATCTAATCCAAAAATCAACTTGCTGGTTTGGTTACATGTGTCTTGGGAGATTCAAAAGTGAGATACATATGTGACAACCGACAAAACGGAGCTTATGATATGTAGCTCAAGGTGAGGACGAATATTAGATATTTACAAATATTTAGTGCCCCTTAGTTTCTTCTCAATCTTTCTTTCTTTGTTCTTTTTTTTTTTTCAGATTTTAGGTTGTGTATATATTCATATATTGTGGTGTCAAAGGATATCCAGGATAATTCATTTTCCCTCCTTTCTTGATCACTATGGCCAATGCATAATAGGAACATCAAATAATTGAATAGCTCTAAGTTACTGGTACTCAATTGGATTAATATTGGTAGGATATATCATTTATCACAAAATCCATCTAAGGAGTTAAGAACCTTCTGCCATTTATTCTAGCATAAAAATAATAGTTCCAAATTCTAAAGTCAATGCAGCACCATCTTATAAGTGATAAGGGGAAATATTACTTCAACGAAGGAAAGTATAAACTTTATTAACCACCAAAACAATCTAGATTAGCACTGGAACATAAAATGCAGGGGGCATATAAGACCTTAGCACCAAATAAATTTACCTTATTCTTGAATGCACTACCCATGAATACAGGCACAAATTTCCGTGCTACAGTAGCTCTTCGAATTGCCTCCTGTTGAAAAAAGAGGCTGGGTAAACAAGAATGAGGCAGCTGTGTAGGTCCTAAAGTAAAACACAAGGAATGCAATATTCTACAAAGATGACAAGCCAAAAACATAAATGCAAGTACACCCATGACAACAAAAACTGGTTCTTTGTAAAGACATTTCAACCTACAATATATCAGCAAATATACAACTGTATCATGTTTTTGTTATAATGAAATATATACCACATCTAATATCTGATTGAAAAATACCCAATCTAATATGTAATAAATCATATTTATAGAGGCCATCCTACATTATAAAGAGCAACCATTGCACAACCACAATCGCTCTTCATAACCCACAACATTCATGATGATGAACTGTGAACGGAAATAATAATAGCCAATAGAACAGTGAGCAACATTTCAACTTAGTTAAGACTTGAGAGATGAGATTAAATTAGAGAAATGTGTTCACTGTTGCTTGTAGTGAAAGACTCATAAGCAGCCTTAAGAGCTAGATTGAAATTTTCATTGGTTCAAGATCAAAACAAGTGTAGATCACTTTTTGGCATTGGTAACAGAACCTGGAAAAAATAAAAAAATGAAATAAAATAAAACCATTTACCAGATCCAAAAGATAGGGTAGACCTTTTAAATCTTTTCGTAGAATCATATATGTTCCTATGCATTATCATATGTAAACACTAAAACACAGTACTCGGAAGTTTGGTGTGCTCTAATAGAAAATATGGCAAATTCCTTGTGAAAAATAAAATGAAAACAGGTAATTAACAGAAAAATAAAATGAAAACGGGTAATTAACAGATCTTTAAGTAGTTTTCCCGAACATTGTCAAGGCAATGCCATGATCTACCTCAAGATCAGCAGCCGATATGGGCTCGTCACTAAGAAACAATTCAGCAAGCTTATCATCAACCTCTGAAACTACTTCAATCAGTTCGTGCCGCTTTTCTAGAGCTTGTGCTTCAAGCGCAGAAGGAAGATCCTCAGCTACAACAGTCTCCCTGCAAGAAAAGTGCAGCTATATAAATAATATGTAGATATGCATCCATAGATCAGTTGCAAGTAGTAAACAGACCCACTGGAACCATGAAAGTAATAAGCTTTCATATTGACAATGTCAATAAGCCCCTTGAAATCATCCTCCAAACCAATAGGCATCTGAACCGCAGCACTGTGGTGTCGTAGTTTGGATCTAGCCTGTACAGAGATAAATGAGAAGCTTTTTCCTGGAACTTTCCATTTGTTTATTCAATCAAAATGAAATAATTGTCAACATGACAAAAAACTATAGGAAACTAAAAGTAAGTTCAAACAGAAGAAACAAATAAGCATTGTTCAAAGTAACCACTTTGTTGAAACACTAAAGATGTTTCAATTTATTTTACTTCCTCCAATACCATCTTATGTACAACTGGTGGTTCTTTTTCCATAAGGTTTTGCTTATAGAACAAATCTTCATCGTAAAAATAGAATTTTGAACAAGAAACCTTTCTTTTTGTGCCCTAATACCACTAGCTTGAGTCCGATGGCCTAGGAACAATCAGCATGGCCTGTTACTGAGCCCATCAGAAAAGAAACCACCAATTGTGGATCAGGGGGCATAAATTATGGCTTCATATCACAACCCAAACAAAAAGCAATGGGATTATAAGTTCCATTCAATAAAAAAAAAATTACATTTCATCCATATTATTCCGAGGCAAGTTATATTTGTGTCTCATTCTTCAACGATAACTTTCAATAAGGTGTTCAATTAACATGCTATCAAGGGAAAGGGTATCTCATCTTTGAATCTCCAACACATGATGGACATGCGGCTTGGTATAAAGACAAACAAATATAACATGATAAACTGTGAGGTCGCTATTCAACACATTTGATATGAAGAACAGCTCAATATATATGAGATTGATCACCTTCTAATTACAATAATTTCACAGTTAGCACAAAAGAAAAAATAATTTCCTTGTCTGACATATTCAACTCATCATATAGCACTCCTCGTTTTGGTGGAGACCATATACTCACTTAGGTATGGTTATTGCTATTCCTCACCGTGGAAACTTTTGAGGAAGCATTGAACCCACTGGTGTTAATTTACTTTAGATGGTATAAGACCAGTAGTTGGTTTCAATTTCAATAACCTTTTTGAGAGTTGTACCGAGTAAATACATCCGTTTGTTAGTAATTCTTAAGCGGAACCTCATTTATTCTATATCCAAAAGCTAACTATTGAAAAATATACATTGATTCATTATCATTTATAAAATATATTTGGATCAGTTCTTAAATACTAAGGGAATTGAAATATGGTATATAATTAACCTGATTCAAAACCTTCCATGGATCAGCACCCATTCGATCAAGCTTGTTTATGAAAGCCACCCTTGGAACCTCATATCTTCTCATTTGCCTATCAACAGTGATCGACTGACTCTGCACACCACCGACGCTACATAGGACGAGAATGGCACCATCAAGTACTCGTAAAGCTCTCTCAACTTCAATTGTGAAATCAACGTGACCTGGTGTATCGATTATGTTAACCTGGAACAACAAACAAGATAATGAATAAAAGATGGGAACAAATGCTATGATCCACAAAACTTCCTCAAGCATGTCCTCAAATTTCTGAGAAGCTTTAAATTAAAAATAGACTTTCACGTTAGATATGCAATATAGAAACTATCATTGATGCTTCAACTAGTTAATTATCAGCTTCATAGCCTAATTCAAATCAAGAACAGTTTCTCACTCCTGAGACAGAAACTTTATAGCCTTCAAACTGCAAAATCTAAACTGTTGAATCGAAGTATCTCCATGATAGAAATCAACTTGCAGCAACACATAAATTTGATTTACGACCTGATAATCCTTCCAGGTACAGTAAGTGGCGGCAGACTGAATCGTAATCCCCTTCTCTCTCTCCAAATCCATGGAATCCATTTTCGCTCCAACCCCATCCTTCCCTCTGACCTCATGAATTTCGTGGATCCGACCCGTGTAAAACAGGACACGCTCTGTCAGAGTTGTTTTACCGGAATCGATGTGAGCCGAAATCCCGATGTTCCGAAGCTTTCGCACGGAGTCCTTCCACCAGGCGTCCTTCTCTTCCCTAATCCGCGCGGCGGCAGCACTGCCAGCGGAGAAATATCGAACATGGCAGCTTCCGGAGAGCAGGGCGCCGTTAGGGGTTTGGTGCGCGGGATTGATGGCTGTGGTGCAGAACGTGTAGAGGAGGCGCGTGGTAGAAGAACGGGCGGCGCGTGTAGCCATTTTGTCGAGGGTTTTATCCTAAAACCCCCTCCCCGGTTGAAGCCTTAAATCAAAGTACGGAATTTGAGTTTTGAAACAGTGTGCTGCTGCCTGGGCTTGACCAATCGGTTCCGAACCGGCCGGTTTTATGGTTCGGTTTCAGTTCTTTTATTCTCAAAATTGTGAACCGCCGGTGTTTTATTCGAACCGGCGGTTTGTTAATTTCTTTTTAAATATATATATAAAGGAAAGTGCGAAGAGAAATAAAATTGAAGAAAATAAGAGGATATGGGGTTGAAAATAGAGCTGTCAAAATGGGTTAGAGTCAGTCTGGTTGGCCCGTCCGGCCGCCTTACTTTTCAAGGAGAGTTGGGTTGTGATTTTTTAAGTCGGTTAAAATGCCGGTGTAAATAGACCAACCTGTATGGGCCGTGGGTTGAGAGTGGGTTAGCCCGCAGTCGGGCGGGTTAGCCCGCGGGTCAAGTAAATATAATAATTAGTATTCATTCGTCTAAACTAAATGTATTTTTTTATCATTTTTTACTGTCATATTAAAAAATTATAATAAAACTAATCAAATATTAATATAAGAATATATTTTAATTTTTTATAAATTACTAACATATCATTATAAATAAGTTAAAACGAATAAAATAAAATGTATATTATCATTAGCTTAAATAAATTATCAATATTGTCTACACATTATTTTTCTTCTCTAACTATGTTATTCATGACATTGTTATTTGTTTTGATTTTTCATCATTTATTTTGTTCGTCTTTCATTTTATTATTTTATAGTTTTACAAATTCATAAAATTAATTATGATTTAGTTTTAAAATGAAGTATTTCTTATTATTAATTTTTTTAAATACACCAATAATAATATTTAGAATTGAGAATTTTTATATTTTTTATTTATTTTAAAATATTTATTATTAAATTTTACAATAAAACTATTTTTAGCTATTTTTAAATATTAATTACGAAAATATTTATAATATTAATATTCTTTTAATATTTTTAAAAAGCCCGTGGACTAGCCCGTTTAGCTCGCCACCCGCCGGTAGGTTGAGTTGGGCTGATGAAATTTTGATCCGCTCCGCCGTAGGTTGGCCCGCAAACAACCCTTTTTATTTACTAGTTATGTTGAATTGTGGGTTAATCCGTTCCATTATGACAATCTAGTTGAAAAGTTAAATATACATTAACATAATATTTTAAATATAAAAATAGATATTTTGATTTAATATTTTTTTTTAAAAAAAATAATAATAATAAACTCTAGAGTAAAATTCCTCCTTCGTAGAAATAGAGATAGTAATATATAAATGTTCTTGTTTCTTTTATTTTATTGAGACATATCATTGAAAGTTGTGAATTAAAATATTAATCAATTATCTAGTATTCATTTCTCATATGCAAAAAGGAGTGAGTGTGTGTTTATTTATATATATATTTATAATTTAACTTTAACTATTTAATTTGTGTTTAATTGCTATTTTTCTTATTATTTTTCAATTGTTACTATTTTTATATTATTTTGATCTCATATAATATAAAATAAAAATAATATTCAAATAAAAAACTCAAATTAAAACTCCAATTTTAAATAAAAATCAAACAAAACCCATTTTACATCTAAATATATAGATGGGTTTGTTCATTTTAAATAATTTTTAAAACATGAGATTTTAAATTTAACTTCAGATAGAATGTGTTTATTTGTAAGATTATGATTTTGGATTTTGATTTTGAATAATTATGTTTTGAAGGTAAAATTAATTTTTGTGTAATATAATAAATAAATAAATAATTTTTTTATTTGATTTTTTTGGAATAAAAAAAAAAAAAATTAGAATAGTAAAATTAGAGTAAAAACCCCACAAGTAAACAGACCCTCTTATTTAACATATTTATATATATATATATAAAGATTGTACATTTTATTAAAGAATAAATACTTCATATTTAAAATAATAAAAGTTAAGCGTAACCAAAAAAAAGATTCGGATCTGTTGTCTCATTCCCACTGTTGAGGAGACACGGCGTTCTTTTGGTAGAGATGGGAGCCTTTGTGTTATTTTCTATTAAATCTCTCGTGTCTCATCTCACATGTGTGTATAGAGATACACTCGAAGAAGACAATAGATCCAGTGTCGTGTGGTTAGGATAATATTCATTGTCCTCTCCACCGTGTCTACACATATGTGAAAAATACACAATGAAAAAGATACAAGAAATTTGAGTATAGAAAATGATGGCTAAGGTTTCGCTTCATGGGCCCACTGGATCAAGGCAGGTCAGTAGTGTTAGGTTAGGGGATTTGGATTCGGCAAAAACAGCATGAGGGTTCAATGGCCTGACAGATCGTTCATATTGTGCTAGGCCGAACGATTGTAGGACCAGATCGTGCCGAGCGGATGGTGGATTACCCGAAAACTGCAATGATGCATAATTTGACAGTAACCGACTCCGGTTCTTTAAGGTTCATGAGGTAACGGCAAATAAGGAACCGAATGCAACCGTTCGAAAACGGCGCAGATGAAAGGATAAGAGGAGTAGATAAGAAAAAAAAAAAGATCTAAGATAAATAATAATAAAAAAAAGTCCTAATCTATTTTTAAACTTTAATTCCTCGTCTCTTGTTTATGTTTCGAGTTTTTTTTTAAGCAATTCTAGAGCTTAAGAATTCATATATAATCTCAGGCCCACTCATCAAATTCAAAATATCTGCTACTTTGTTTCGTTGGATTTCCTTAGCCAACAATATGAAATGTATATACTCCCTTCGTCCCACGTACCATGTCCACGTTGCCGTTTCTATCCGTTCCACATACCATGTTACTTTCCTTTTTGAAAAATGACTATACACTTTAATCTCATTTTAAACTTTTTAATTTTTTTTTTTTTAAATTTTTTAATTAAACTAATTAGTTATCTTAATCTTAATCTTAATTTATAATTATTTATATTATAGGATAATTATTTTCACTAATACATTCTTAATTATCTACTAATTACACCCCTTCTAAAATACCGTATCTACAATGTAACAGACCCCTCCTAAAATACCGTGTCTACACTGTAGTTAGGCACGGTATATGGGACGGAGGGAGTATTATATAAAAACTTATTTGATTTACTTAAAATTAGAAGGAATGTAATTATGTGGTGTGATGTTATTTTGTAATGGGGATGTCATGGGTTCTAATTTACATGGTTACAAAATTTTGGATTTTTTTTAATGCTATTTTTCCACCTAAAAATATTAAAAAAAGAAATATTTTATTTAATTATTTAAATTTTTATTATAAATATAAAATATTATTTATATATATTTAGGACCTATATTTTTGTTTTGTCCGGGACCCTTGAAAGCCAGAATCAGACTTGTATGTGAGAAGAGACAAGTAGAAATGAACAACAAATGGTGTGTTTGTTTGGGGAATTGGATTTAATTTTCACTATTTATTCTATTTTTTTCCAAAAAAACATCAAATCAAATACTTATTTTTTTATTTTTATATTATACTAAAAATAAATTTTACATTCAAAATATCATATTAACACCTATTTATATCACGTCATACAACTATTCAAATTCAAAATTTTTACTATTCAAATCCCAATTTAAAATCTAAACCCCCGAACAAACACACCCTCAAGTGTCTTTTGGTTTGGAAGGGATCTATTGTCTCGTCCCAATCGTGCCCCTTCTCACATGTGTGTATAGTTACACACGTGTGAGATGGGACACGGTAAAGAAGAAACAACGGATCAGAAATTTATTGTATAAATAAATTAATTTATATTCGTTAAATATATTTAAAATAACTAAATAAAGTATTAATTGTTGGACAGATGAAGTATAAAATAATTGGAGGTATAAATTTGACAATTAAAATGAAGAAAAAAAATATATAAAATATTAAATAATAGTAGTAACATTTGTTATAAATAAAAATTGAATAAAAATTAATAGTTAAATACAAACATTTTGATTTGTCAAAATTAGCAATAATGTAAAGTTTACGATTAGATTAAAAAAATAAGAATAAATTTAGCCGATAGGAGAGTATATGTTTAATGTAATATTTCTTCGATTAGTCAAATTTATGTTACTGTTTTTTTATTAAATTTATACATAATTTATTTGTAGTAAATAATTTTATTAATTTATATTTTTTATTCTTATATTTTAACAAATACTGCTATACCTCAACACTATTTTTCAATTATGATTTTTCAAAAATAATAATAAACAATACAAAATATTTTGACAAAAGTAAAAAAAAAAAAAAAAAAAACACTTTGAATACTCACTACAAAAGGTCAAAAAATCAAATATTCAAACTAAAATAATTTATTTTATATTTTTGACACAATTTCTGATATCATACATAAAAAATTAATTCAAATGTAAAAATATTGGGTGAATGGAGCCACTCTATCCTTTTCAAAACGATTTTTATATGAGCAGTATTATTGATATTTTTAAAATATGAATTAATATATGATTAAAAAATTTGGAATACATGTTTATATTTCAGTAAAATATCTATACACTATAGATTTCATTTCGTATAAAATAAAATTTTATATGATACAAAATAATATTCCCTTCGTTCCAAACAAGGTGGAATAATTGTTTTTGCACGGATTTTTAGGTGGGTAGTATTAAGTGGGATAATTTAGAAATTAGGTGATGTAACGGAGAGAGAAATATATATTTTATTTTTTAATTTGGATTATGTGAGGGGATAAAGTGTGGAGTAGAGATTAGATATAATTAATTATATCCTATTTTGAAAATATTGCAAGATGTTTGGGACATACCAAAAAGAAATATTGTAGGATGTTTGAGACGGAGAGAGTAAATAATATATTTATTTATTATATAACATAAACTAGTTTTATAGAAAAAAATAATTTTAAATATAAATAAAATATTTATTTATTGAAAAGACAAATGAAAATAAATAAGTTTTAAGTAAATTTTGTATTAATTTATACTCGTTAAATATACTTAAAATTGATAAATTTAAATATATCATTTGTCCTACTTATTAAAAAGAAAAACTAG